TATACAAAGAAGAAAGCTGCAAGGTTGGTACTGCTAAAAACTTCATTAGTGTTTATTCCAAAAAAGCAAAACAGATACACAACAGCACAGTGTCACAGCAGTGTTACGACTTTTCTGTTCAAGTGTTTACAATTCATTATTTCGCAGTACGAAAACCCCCTGGAGTGACCAGGGAGGAAACAGTTAATTGCACATTACCTGATAGAAACTAAAATCACTAGTCTTTGCTCTGTACAATATGCGGAAAGTAAATGAAGAACTGAATTAATTTGCTGGTTCTTGCTGGGAAAGACAGTGATTCGGTAATCAGTGGGTGTATTTAGCACCTGTGGCCTACAAGAGAGAGTTCAGAAATGCTGAATCGGAAGTCTTCAGCTCTTCATATTGCTGGTTTTATTGTTTTACTCCTATTAAAATAAATTAGTGTTGTATTCAACATTTTGCAGATTTGGACCATGTTTCTTTAAAATCTGTTAGAAAGTGCAGTTGCAGAGTTTATGAGTATACAGTGCGAATACAGGCTGTTGTTCCAGACTGTCCTTCTTAGCACGACTGCTTATGGCTTGGCAGAAGATTATTTCTAATTTAAGAAAGGTGGCCTTCAACATGCATTCAGATAACAAGACACTAATTGATCTTTGCAGTTAAACCTCAGCATACAAACACGGGAATCTACAAAATGTATGGTTTTCCTAGAGGTGACTCCATCTTTAACCATCTTTAAAATGCAAAATTCAATCTACTTATGAAATTGCTTTTTATTTACCAGATGAACCTGAGCTCTAGACCACTTCTAAAGGAAGCACCATCGCATTATCTATTTGCATGTAGCTGATTACCTGCGTTATTTAACTTCACTTTTTTTTTTTTCCTGTCTGTAAGCTTAACTTTCCTCGCCTACGCTAAGGCGCTAAACCGCCGTTTCTCAAGAAGGCAGGGAAGGGGTAGGCCAGGCTTGTCACGCCTTCAAGGGGAACTACAGGCCTATTTTTATATTGCGGGGTTAGACGGAATCGGCATCGATGAAGTGCATTTCAGACCCCAAAGAAAGTAAAACGGACACAGTAATTTGTAAAACCTCCCATTTCCATCACAAAATAGCCTCAATTTCCAGGTCTGCTCAGCGCTATGTTCTGCGATTCCGATCGAGGCAACAAACCTCCCGGTGGCGTTTCGCAGCCCCCTGACACTGTCGACAAGCAGGCTTGCGCATGCGGCTCTTTTAACCCAATCGAAATAGTGCTCTCGGCTTGGAGACGGTTTTGCCAACACCTCCTCCTCGTTCACTCCGCCTGCAGATCGCGGTGGTCCCGCTTCTGCTGTGAGATGGCCGCGGCCCGGCCCGTACTCCTCCGCTGGGCCGTCGCAGTGCATCAGGCGGCGCGGGGACTAGTGAGCAGGAAGGCCCGCCTCCCGTCCCGGTTCTTGCGGACTCTCGCTCTCGCCCGCAAGAGCAGGGGTCTGTGGGAACATGGCCGCCGCCAGCGCCTTTCACCA